CCTCTGAATAAACCCTGAAGTGAATTGTCTGCTTCTAGTTACAGATTTTTAAAAAATTATCCTTAACAAAAAAAACAAACGAATATGTGATGTTTAATATCTCTTCTCTTCAACCGTGAGAACAGGTTACTAATTCTACAATAGCAGTAAATCTCAATCAACATTCTCCCACCAATGAAATAACAGATAATAATAAATACATGAAAATTAAGGAAGGTTATATGACAGGTAAGTCAAATAGAGAGGTTATCTAATTGATAACACATTTAACTGAGACTCAAATGACCAGAAGGATGAATGGCATAGAGACCTGGGGGTAGGAGGGCAGAGATAATCGTAGGCAGAGTAAGTAACTAGTAAGCAAGTGAAAACTTCCCAGACTGAGAATGAACTTAGCATATATGAACAAGAGAAAAAAACCTGTGACAGTAGCTAAGTTTCAGAATAGAAATTACATGAGATTGGTTGAACAGGTAGACAAAGAGAGATGATGGTGGCTTAAAAGAGGTGTGAAGAGTTTACTTCATTGTGATATTTTGAGGATAGAATTAAAAGAATTTGCTGCTGGATCAGGTGTGGGTGCAAGCAGCGAGAGAAAAAAGAAACCAGAAAATGATTCCCGGTTTTTACTTCTTCAATAGCTGTAGGATGAGGACACAGCTAGAAGAAGACCAGATTGTCTTTGCTGCTTGTGTTAGTTTGCTAGGGCTTCTACAAGTACTACAGATTGGATGGCTTCAACAAGGGGAATTTACTTCTCACAGCTCTGGAGGCTAGAAGTCCATGGCCAGGGTGTCAGCAGGGTTTGTTTCTCATGAGGCCTTTCTCCTTGGCTTGTAAGTGGTCTTTTCCTAGTGTCTTCACATAGTCTTCCAATTGTGCAGGTCTGTGTTCAGTTTCCCTTTTCTTACAAGTACATCAGTCATATTGGATTGGGGCCCACCCAATAACAAAATAATAAAATGATTATTTTAACTTAATTATTTCTTCAAAGGCCCTGTTTCCAAATACAATCACATTCTGAGTACTGGGGATTAGGACTTCAACATAATGAATTTTGAAAGGACACAACTCAGCCCGGAACACTGGCTGTTAATTTGTATATATTTTTGTAGAAGGAAATGAAAGATACCAAGAGCTCTGTTTTGAAAATCATTTTAGAACATTAGAGAAAAGAACCCTCACAAACGGGCACTTCATACATCCGGTACTGTGAGTAGCGCTACTTTTCTTTTTTCCCAGGTATCGCCAGACGATGTAACTTCCTCCTCGTGGCTAACTGCTTCTGCGCAGTCTGTGCCGGCAGCCTAAACTAATCTCCACGCAAATGCCTTCTTTATGTTTTTGGCTCATACTGTTTTCTCAGCTGAGAACTCTGACACCTGTTTTACAATTCTCCTTCCCACTTTAATGACTGCCGTCACTATAGGTCTGACTTCGCACTGATGGGGACAAACCTACCAGTATAATAGGCTCATTACTTCCAAACATTTTGGAGTCTCATGTCCTTAAACTCTACTTCACTTTATCCCTTTTCTCTAATTACCACAACTTTCATTCTTTCAGTAAATAGTCACTGTGCACATAGGATATCTCTTCTTCCTGGGAAGCACTGAAGGTATACAAAGATGAGAAATACCTGCTCTTTGCCCTTAAGGAGTTTTCTGATGAGGAGGAAGGAAACAAGTGAAAAAAATATATTATTTTTATTTATTTAGATACTCAACAAATATTAAAAATAACAGCTAACACTCTTGAGGGCTATCATTACTCTAAATGCTTGACATATATCAATTTTAATCCTCACAAAACCCTTCTGAGGTAAGACCCATTATCATCCCTGTTTTACAACTGAAAAAATTGAAGTATTAAAGGTCAAATAAGTTGTTCAAGGTCACACAGCTTGCAAATATCAAAGTTGGGACTTGAACCTAAGTAGTGTGGCTCCAGAGTCCATTTAATCACTACACTATGCTACCTTTTCTGTAAGCACAATTATGCAGTGAATCTAAATTAACATCCTTGCAGTTATACCTACATGCCTGATTTTGCCTAGCATTAAGTGGCAATTGTGCTACCTAATCAGGCCAGCAGAGGGTCCAGAGAAGCTCCCCTCCCATGCCAACCTGATAATTTTGCAGTCATCCATGCCCTGCCATAATATATTAGAGAGACCAAAAGGAGTCTGGAAGCATGAGGTAAGGATTTTGGTAACCATGTCAGAATAATACATAATAAACTTGACTGGATCATCAGTGAATCCACCATCTTCTCAAGAAGAGCTCTCCTTCACTATCATGTCCAAGCCAGGACTTGCCCCAAGAGGGTGAATGAACTTGAATTTCAATAAAAGGTGCAGGAACACTAGGTTAGGAAATGCCAGAAGAGGAATGGAGTCTGCCATTCCTGTTAAGGAGTGCAACCTCAGGATTGTTCCTTCTTATGCCTCCCAGTTAAAATAGATACCATTTCTCCATAAGGAAAATTCCTGCTCAAGCTCTATACTGCTCGTATTCAGCAGCAGCTCTTCAAGTTAAAATTAAATTTGGAAGCTCTTAAGAAAAGAATTGGACACAGGCCAAAGGCAGTCAGAAAGTGAATGAACATCTTTTTGAAAATTTTGTTGATGATGGAAAATCTGGCACAGGAAATATGTCTGGCAGCAAACCTATCTTTTGTAACAAGGAATCAAATATGCATGACTATTTTTGTTTTAAAATGGATTGTGTCTTTATTATTAATGCTTTCAGGAAATATATTTATTGAGAGATAATCACATTTGTATCTCTCACTAGGTACTATGGGAATACGAATAAATCTTAGATCTGAGGTCTGCATCTGGGATGGAATAGCTGTGGTAGAGAAGGCATGTGACTCATGCCTTGAAAGAGGGATATTTGGCTGAGCGACAAAGCACACACTTTAAGAGAGGAAACAGCAGGAACTAAGGCATGAGAAAAGGACAAGTCAATACACAATACCTGGAAGAGTTTGGTCTGATTCATTTAGAGAGAGTACGGAAGAGGTTTTGAGGACTGTTGGATTATTGTGAAATTGGCAGCATAGAGTGGAGGGTTAATAACACTGGTTCTGGATCACATAACCTTGGAATTGGCTCAACTTTGCAACATAGAAGCAGTAAGACTCAAGCCAAGTTAGATTACCTTTCATAGACTCAGTTTCCTTAATTTTTTTCAGTAAATTAAATGGGATGTGACACCTTAAGCACAACACCTAAGAAAAATATTAGCTTTTGTTGTTTTCACCATCATTATTATTCTAAAAGTAGCAAAGGCTAGTATGTGAAGGCCTTGAATTATGTATGAGGCTGGATCTGATATTGTAGACATTGCTAAATTCTTGAGTAGAATAAACTGATAAACTCTGAATAGAGTAATAAGATTTCATCTGATAACACATTGAAGCTAAATTGGAAAAGAGTATGAAAATATATGACTTTGATCTCTTGCCAGGGAGGTGAATGTGCATAAAGATAGATTCCCTAATTGAAACTAGAATAACCACCTTTTGGTTTTTCAGAAATACACACTGCGGTAGGATATATAGGAAATTTATTAAGAGAGTAAAGCTTAAGGAGTTCTTTCTCATCAGAAGGAGAAAAAACTTTTCCCCCTGTAATTCTTTTCTTTCTATTGTTTCTATCTCTATGAGAAGATGGACGTTAGATGAATCTATTGTGGTGATCACCTCACAGTATAAATACTTAAGTCAAACCATACATATGCCTTATCAGTGACTTATGCCAATTATTTCACAATAAACTTAGAAGAAAATTCCAATTTTTCAATAATCTAGGCATTTAAACTGTTCCCCTTTTCCTTTTTCTGACTCTTTAGGGACATATTTTAAATTATTCACATCTTCAAAGACACAGAAGCGGGGCTTGAAAGGAGGTGGAACACAAATTAGATTTTTTTACTTGCCTGGAGAAGTGTAACACTATTGACCAACTCAGGACTTCTTTGTGGTGTCATTGTTTAATATTCCCTTTCCCTGAATATATTTTATGGTTTACTCCCACATGCTTTTGAGGAAGGGACACTGAACGGAGTGACTACACAATAGACAATTGTGTAATTTCAGAGCACAATTCTCTGGCACATACTAAATATTTTATATTTAATTAGTAGCTTAATAGATCAAATTGCATATTATTCTAATTATGCAAAGCAGTACTGAAAATAAATGGTGCATGTCTCTCATTCTTTTTATAAGAACACTGCTAATTACTACATAATGGTTTAATGATTTGCAACTGGGCTAACCACGTACATGGCATATTTTAATATACCAGTTTTATATCAATCCCAGGCAGTAAATAATCAAACATAATTTTCAAATGCATACATTTAATACAGAACCATAATCTCCACTAGTTGGAAAATAGGATTATTCAATTATACTAACATTTAGTTAAAAAAAAAAACACTATTACTACTAGAGTAAATTTTGCTTTAGTCAATTCAAATTTCTTGTATATTATGTGTTTTTTTTGCCTCATGTTGATTCCCTATTTGCAAAATGCAAAAAAAAATTCATATCATGAAATTATTTGAGAATAGGAACTCATACACACTTTTTGATAATAGTTGTGTGAAAAATTAATTAAGTCTCTAGCCTTACTTAAATGAATCTGTCTTTGCATTGCTGTAATAGCATATCAATCAGGCAGGATAGTGGCTTAATTTTTTTCTTAGTAATTCATTTACTGGTCTAGGATTTATATTCAAATCCAGGCTGTTGGGTCAGCATCATTATGTCTTACTGAAGACTTCCTTCAATATTCCTTGCGATTTTATTGGTGTCACATTCTGAGTACACATTCCCGTTCTATCGTTCAAAAACTGTATTGCATTTTGATTTGCACAGATGGAACAAAGTAAGTAACTGAGACACTGGTTGAAAAACAAACCATTTCTGCATTTTCAAAAGATTCTAAAAGTGTAGAAAAGATAAAGACCTGTAACAATTTATCTTACCTTGCTCCATTCAGCAGTGTGACACTGGGCATTTACACTCCTAGGTGGCATCAGTATATAGAATGCAAGCATCTCTTTGAAATCAGATATTTCTGTGGTCTGTCAGATTCTAGCAAGGGTGGAAAAAAGAGCTGGCTGGGTAGAATGAACATAGTGAAGAATCATGGGAAATGTAGTAGGAAATAGTAACTCAATAACAGGGATAAAAGTAAAGGGAAAAGGACAATAACGGTTGAAATGTAGAGATCCTAATATCTGAAATGACTAAACTGTGTCATGGTAGACTCACTTGGGAGAGTCAAATATAGGAATTTTAGTAGAAGATGGTAAAATTATTTCATGTAAGCCATTGTTACCATGCTTCTGCACACCATGGGGACTGTATCTGAATGTGCTTCTGCTTCAGCCTGGGGTATTGAAACAGTGTGGCGTGAAAGTAAAGACCCTAAAGCACTGATTAAGCTTTGTCAATTCTACAGAGAGCACTTCAGAGGACATTAAACCCCGGTGACCTCTGTGTCAGATTCAGAGTGTGTTTTGTGTGGCTCACACTATGTTGTTTGTTGTTTTTTTTTTTTAAGCCAATATGTTAAAACTGTGATATGTCATGTAAGCTACTCAATTCTGTCTTTTCTTAGAAATGGTACATCTAGTAATATAAAACCCGGATTTCCTTGTTGCGACCATAGACTGAAATTGAGAGAAGTATATCTTTTAGCCAGGAAATACATTTCCAACAGTATAATTTGTTCTCTCTTGTTGCCCTGATGCTATGACCAACAACTGTTTGGTATTTATCATCAGCCCTATAGCTTATCATATAGCTTAGATACTAACAAATCTTTGTTTTTCTTTTCTTTTCTTTTTAACCTGTTACATTTTGTCACCTTCTTGGGAAGCTACTAGGAATCTAAATTTGTAACACCTGTTTTTTTGGCTCTCCATTCCCTACAGTCCATGATTAAACTACTCAGCTTGACATGCATTTCCTGTTCTCTGATTCATGTCTCAGTCATTCTATTCAGCACGTGTTCACTGAGGGCTTACCATGGTCTCACTACGGGACAAGGGGTGGTACTAGCAGAGGGGATATAAAGTAAAAAAGGCACAGTCCCTGCTCTCAAGGATCGCAGAGTCCGTGAGGACAGACAGACTTCACGGAATAGCAGTTCAATATAGTGATAAATACTCTCAAGGAGCATGTTCATAAAACAGTATTATAGAAATACACAGGTGAGCAATATCAATTCAAACTCAGATCATTGCCTTCCGAGTTGAAGTTAACACTTTTGTTTGTCAAAGTGTAGACTTATTATATTTGACCAAATATTGAATTATTAAATTCAAAATTTGAAAAATAAAAGTAGAATCTTATATCTATATCTACTCTAAAATAACCAAACAGGATTAAGAAAATATATTTTTCAAGTCTCCAAAAACATAAAGGAAGTAACATATATATAATATATATCAGACATCTAGATCATATATATATATATATATATACGTATATATATATATACATGTATATATATATATATAATTTTGTTTTGTTTTGTTTTGTTTTGTTTGTTAGGGAAAAATTTTCAAATGAACGGTATAAATGTCTCCTTAAAAGCAAAGCACAAAGCAAATGATAGTTTCCCAAAATATTTCTGAATTTAGATTTTTTCAATGCCTTCTATTCCCCTTTTACATATCAGAAAAGATATTAAGTTGTACTTCAAATTCAATATTCAAGATGGTTAACCTCTAAAACAGTATTTATTTAAACATTCAGCCATTTGACGTTATGCACTTCTTTTCCCTTTTCCCAATAATTTAACATAATTCATGGCACTAATTAATGAAAATTGATGTACTCTTTGTGAGGCACAAGTACAACTAATGTTCTTGGTCCTGAACCATAATTTGAAAGCTATCAATCAAAATATTGGAAGAAGCAGCCTGGGTGCTACCATTTTGAAATGAGACCAAAACTTAATGGATGAAGATTGAGTGGAGAACAATTTCCACTCACTTTTGGGCTGCTTTGTAAAATGCAGTTCACAACTGGCACCAATGCTTTTGGAATTCAAAGAACAGGAAATTCCATTTAGATTGCTGCCTGCAGTCTTCTGTTGTTCCAACTGAATTTCTTCGTGTTATTTCGAACTATTATCATGGCTGTACTCTTGATCCCAATATGTGGTAGATATGCACATCAGTTAGAATATGAAACAGCCATGGTTGTGGTCACTATTCATAACCTGAATGAGCACAGGGTGACAGCTGGTCATACAAGCAGGAAGCAATTGAACAAGACAGTTAAGTGCTACAAGAAACTGACTTAGCTTAAGGAACCAACTTTGGAAAGCATAGGTTGGCTTTCCTGGGCTTATAACATAGTGCCCAAGTGCCATATGGGCTCATGTGCTGCCAGAGTCTCCAATCATATGGGCAGCAACAATGGGTAACTTAACAGAGCAATAATTACTGCCTTGTTATCTGGCCCTATAGAGCTAAACTAGCCAGTGCACTAGGAAAGCCTGGACTAGTCCCATGGAATGAATGGCAATACATAAAGTACAATGGATACAGGCAAAGAAACTGAATTTTAAGGTAAGTCTTTTAAATAAATAAATTTTAGGAGCAATTTATTCATATTTACAGATGATTACAATGTGCCAAATATCTGCTAAAGCCAGGAATGAAAAGTGTTTAAGACATAGCCCCTGTTTTCAAGGATCTCATAGTTTAATGAATTATTTTGGGACTTGCACTAATTGCTGTGTACAATGAAGTAAATCATTAATTAATAAAGGTACCAGAGATTATGTGAATTATTATGAGAGGCAGCTAATTCATTTTGAGTGGTTATGGAGTAGGAGGTAAAAGGTATTCCAGATTAGGAAACAGACTGAGCAAAGACACCAAGTGGAATGTGTTCAGGGTACCAGAGCATTTCACTCTCAGCCAAAAATGAAGTAAAAATCAATGTGTAGCCAGAGTTGAAGCTATTGAAATAGGTAATTTCAAGTCAGGAACACCTTGTTTTTCTATTCTGTATTTCCTACTCTGTACGTGATGAGAAGTCAATGAACAGATTTAATTAGGGGATTTCTATAGGTAAAATTTTCATTTTCCTGTGATTATCCCTATAGTTGTGTATATAATATATAGGAAGAGTTAAATCAGAAAGCAGTCTGGAGGCTATTGCAGTGGTTCCTCTAAGAAATGATAAGGTCTGATCCATGGGAGTGGGTTTAATTGGGTTAAAGATAGAGGTGGTAACAGATTTGAAATTTATTTAGGAAGTAAAGGAAGAAAAACTGATTTGACATGTAACCGTTATGACAGATAATTCTGTGTGTACAGCATATCTCTTAACTTTTCCTCCCAGGTTCATGGATAGATTAAATTTTCTAGTCTTCATTGCAGTTAAGGTAGTGACCAGTGGAATATACTTAGAATTGTTATTTACTACTACTTCTGGTCCTAGCCCTTAAAAACCTTCTATATTCTTACAGTGAATTCTCTCACTCCTCTGGATGTGAAGGGTTCTGAGAAGTACTCCAGTGGACCCTAGGAGATGGCTTAGCACTTGATTGAAGGAATCTGTATCCCTGAATGACTCTAAGGAACAGAGCCTCACTACTGACCTACACTGAATTTCACTGCATTTAAGTAGGCATTTGTTTGTTCCAATACTATTTCCCTTACATAGCTTACATAATCGAAAAATAAACCAAAGTGAACATATTTAATGGTAAATGATCATTTCAGTTTTGACATGTTCAATTTGATGTGATTATGAAGTGATTACCAAAACGTTGAAACCGTAAGACTATGTAAGGTCATTCAGGAGAACAGTTGACTAAGGAAAGTAGTAAATACAGGATGAAATTCTGAGAGCACCAAGAGTTAGGAGTCAGAATACAAGAAAAATAAGGAGCTGAAGTTGAAGAGGGAGTCAAGGTCAAATCACAAACACTTGATCTTTCCTTTTAAAGTGTTATATTTTTACTCTTTAGATGATAGGAGATCTCTGACTGATTTAATCAGGGGCATGATGGGCATGATATAATAAGATTTGCATTTTAGTTAGATTATTCTTGTAGCTCAGGAGATAAGTGTAGGCCTAAAATTAGAGAAGAGTTGAGAGGCTACAATAGTAATCTTCTTGGTTACCATGAAGCTCTCTTAGAAAAAAGGTAGGTAAAGTTTCAAGGACAGAAAATACATTTACTGGAGAGAATGATCAAAATTACCAAATAAAAGAGAGGATTTCATTTTTATAACACCGACTTTAGGTGAAACGACCAGTTGTGGAAACAGAGACTGCAAAAGTAGACAGGCTTTGTGCAAGTGTGACAGAAGACACTGAATTGTAACCAAGGAGTGTCTTTAGGGTTAAGTGATTTTTATTATTGACTTTTGTTAGGATGGAAAAGATATAAACATGTTCACATACGAAAGGGAAAAAGTCAGAAGAAATAGAGAGCTTGAAGATTCTGCAGAAGAGGTAGAAGCAGGAAGCAAAATCCCAGGGAGTAGAAGGGGTGGAATCAAAGTCCAAATTGATGGTGGAGCTAACCTGAATCCGACATGAGGGAGCCCCTATCGTCAAAGACTAGAAGAAAGGAGTGACGGCATTAATGTGTGTAGATACGGATGGCAGAAAGATGAGGTGTTTGCCTACCTGATTTCCTCTATTTTTCCTAGAAGAGATGAGCAAAGATGTTGAACGGGAGCTGGAAAATGCATGCACAGAATGGTCACTGAGGCCACCAGATCATTGTAACCAAGGACAAACAAAAAGATCTATACATGGTACTGAAAACTATTTTTATCCAAGAAACTTTGAAGGCAAGGACAATTACTTGGTATGAAATTTCTGAATTTTCATGAAAATGATTGATTCAAATGTGTTGGGAGCAAACCTGTGGGCCTTTAGGCAGACTCAGTCACAAAAGCCTTAAGACAACAGCAACATTTGAGTAAGGTCTTTCCTGTAAAGTCAGCAACAATGAATCCATCCACGCGTTAGAAACAAGTTTTCCCCTATTACCAAGAAACGCATTTAGTGAACTCCTAGGT